CATAGATTAAATAAATATATATACTTATATAGATGGCGTGTTCTCCACCTTTAGATTTAACGCTGTTTTTAGTTGTGACCCGCGATACCAATGGCGCTAGTGAACATGCGCGGGAATTTTTAAAAATCTTTCAAATTTGATTTCCTTGATTTTTGAAAACTTCATGATAAAATTAAACAGAAACAATTTTCGCTTATAGCGAATTTGTTTCTGCAAAATTTCAACATACACAGTTATCAAAAAACAATTATATAGTGTAACAGGTATTATAATGTTAATAATAAAACAAAATTTGATAAAATAAATTACATACAAGTAAAACAACAAAATAAAAAAACATATAAAATGAAGTAAAAAAAGTATGTAATAAAAAACTATAATTAAATTACAAAATTATTTTATAAATAAGCACAATTCACTTGGTTGTTTGGAAAAAGACACATATCAACCCCTGATTTTATTTCTTTTAGTTACTCACTTCATTAATCAATCTTAACATTAACAATACTTTCCTTTTCAATCTTCTTGTCACTCACTTGTCACTATTCGTTATAAATAAACTACAAGCCTGCTATAAACAGTTTTTAGATTATTTCTTAGACAACTAAAAATCAAAAATGTGATCATTAATTCAATCGGTAAAGAAGCTGTTCTTGTGTTGTATGCTATCAGCGCCAAAGGTATCACGGGTCACAACTAAATTTATTATTGATGCATGCTTATACGGAATTAACACAGCATGACTCCTGTCATCATCCAACTAGCGGAAGACTCAGATTCTTCCAGTAATTCTGATTTTTAAACAATATTCAAATTTTAATTATAGCACTTAATGATGTTATCTTAATATATTGCGCACGAGTTTTAATTTCAAAACGTAGATATTAGCCAAGTGACGAGAGATTAGTGGCTTCGTCTTTAAAGTAACAATCAGTGACAACTTCGTTTAGAATATACACAACCTTACTTATTATTTAGTGGAAAATATTATAAAGCGTGGTCATAGAACATGGTATCTAGGGTGGTACAGACCGTTTTTTTTATAAAAATTTGGCAATGACAATTGATTTAAATAAAAAACAAATTTTAGAATAAATACATTTATTTGTACTTAGCTGCGATAAATTGTATACATTTTTACAAAATCTCCAATTATTTTATTTTTAATCCTTAAGCCTAAAATATTCCTTTACAAGTTTGTTGTAAAAACACTTAAAAAATGGAAAACACAAAACCAAGCCGAAGAGCGTGTTCTTTTTGTGTATATAGTAAAATTCGGAATATAATTAAACATCAAAAGATGAAAGCTAGCCAAAGATTTTCGAAAAATTGTATAATACGCTGTATATCGATATTGTGTCCAACCACTTTTTCGTTTTAAATATTAACATCTTTGTATTTAAAAAAATCAGACCCAAAAAATCTTAAATTAATCTAAGGTAATTAAAGAAAATTTGTGTGTTGTGGAAAATTAAAAAACTAATCAAAAAAAATTTTAACGTATCACAGACAAACAGATGCCCCAAGGACAAAAAGCTACCGTATTTTGTGCACTTTTTACCTTTAAAATTGTTTAAGGGAAATAAATTTTGGACCACGGCATCTTTCTGTTTAAACAAAAAATTTCATTATCGTCTTTCTGCGTTTTCCGCATTCTCATTTTCAAAAGCTGTTATTTTTGGTTGTAACACAATGCTCGCGATACTCAAAGAACACAAACACAGAGTCACCGTTCCGATTAAAATATACACAGCGGTTATCAGCCAAAACGCGAATAAATACAAACTTTTATTACAATATTTTCCGTTGTCTTTTAGCGGATCATAATTTGGTTCGTATTCTTTGTAAACCCAAACCGATCCGATTATAAACCATCCCAACATAAAACAGTTTAATAGTGTTTGAGTCGGTGATTGACGAAGTTGTTCTTCTTGTTGATCCTCTTCACGCTGTCTTACTCTCGTTGATAAATGTAAAAGTTGTTTTAAAATACCAAAAATACCTACATTTCATTTAATTCAATTTGATTTATATACAGGATGTCTCAGCGAGACCGGTTATTAGACGTTTCTGGGATTCTGGCGAAAATAAAAATTTGAGAATTCAGACTTAAGTATTATCAATTACGATCTCTTCGTCTAAAATATTTTCAGATTTCTTGCACTTCCGGTTATACCGGAAGTCGTCACCAACTTTATTTTTTTAAATGGAACACCTGTATATTTTTACATATTTGGATTTGTCTGTTTTCAAGGTTTATAAATAACTTTACCTTTTGCAATTTGATTTGGTCGTTCTCGAGTTATTCGAATTTTTCTAGAAAAATCTGCTGCAGCAGACATTTGCTCAAAAAATCAGAAAACACTCAATTTTTGGGATATCAATTTAGGATTGAGAACATGCTTAAGCAACATGATGGAGTATGTTTTGGTGCCGAGAACTGCGGTCTAGAACGTTTGATCACTTTACTATGGCACGTTAACTTTTCAAAATTTGGAAGTACCATAACTTCATTATTTTAAATGGCACCCCCCATATTTTATTTTTTAGTCGTCTTCGGTGTCTCATTCTACATCTTTTATATCCCATATGGCCCATACCTAATAAAGGGTGTCCCAACAAGAGCGCCGGATTTAAATTTGCCGCCATTTTATTAATACGAGTTGTACGGCGTTTTTTGTTTGACAGTTGTCACGTATAGACCGCGCGATTTATGAATATGGTGAACTATTCAAACGAACAACGTCTAACTATTGTAAAAACACATTACAAAAATGGTGAAAGTTTTGCGAAAACTGTTCGCCAATTACGTCAAGTTTTCGGTCGCAATAATGCGCCAAATGAATCAACAGTGAGGCGTTTAATTACAAAATTTGAGACCAAATTTATGCTGGTGGATCAGAAGATCAATGTTCGTCGTCGTCCTTGTCGGTCACTTGAAAACATAGCCACAGTAAGGGAATCTGTGGTCGATAATCCAGGAACTTCCATTCGGCATCGTGGTCAAGAATTAAACATTTCCAGAAGCACTTTGCAACGCATTTTGGTAAAAGATCTGCATTTGCACGCGTACAAGGTTCAATTGGTGCAAGAAATCAAGGGACCAT